AAGGTGGCTTTGTTGGTCACCTTTGTCTCAGAGCTCCTTTGTTGTGTGGAAGTAACATTATTAAAACAGCCATAGTGACTGAAGTGGGCTGATGACATTTCTTTAAATCAACCATGAAATGTCCAGATAGGCCCTCTCTGCCTCCTTGTCATCACTCCAGAAAGTGATGAGTATTTTGAACTTAAAAACATTATAGCTAAATACAAACAGCTAGTGTATCACCCAACATTAACACTGTACCACTTGAAATGGGTCAGTTACAGAGTAAAGGGATGTAGGTCATTTAATGTGTATGTGGGCTGCAATGCCATGATATTTTACTTCACTGATTAACTTGACTGTGCATGCATTTACACATTGTTCAAATTGACCCCAACCCCTAACCTGAAGATTAAAAAGCATATAATGTCAGGTCTGAGACAGTTGGGGAAAAAATGATTTGGGAGCAGCTGAAACAGTACTACATATATTATTTATGTTGCCTTGTCTTACCTAGAATACATTTTAGGAAACAGAATAGATGTTCACTGCACAGTTAACATAATAAAAATAAAATAAAAATGTGGCATTACCGTTTAGTAAAAAGCCAACTAAATATCTGAAAATAAGGTATGTTGAACACATTCTACCGAGTGAGTATCTTCCTTCGGGAAGAACCCATCAACAAGCAGACAGCTAGACAAACTGCATGTTTTTTCACACTAATGCCACACCGAGCTGACGTAAAGCACGGCGAGCCAATGAGGCAGCATCACATGAACAAGATGTCAGGAGGTTCTAAACCTCTGGAGTGTCTCATCACTGTGATGACCTGCACGTGCAAAAACCCCTTGAACAAACAGTCACGACAACCTTCCTCCCAGACTGTCATTCCCACTGCTTGGACAACACCTCACCTTTTAAAAAACAAACAAACAAACAACAACAACAAAAAAAAAAAAACGCACAAAAACTAAAAAGATGTTTACTTGACTTCCTAATGACAGGAGACTTGAGTGGGAGACTAAAAAACATACCGATCTGAAATCTCCGTCAACATCAGAGTCCTCACAGATGTCCTCATGGGGAACATTTCTCCTCTTCAGAAGATGCTCATCTCTTTTGTTCTGTAGAAATAATACTTCATATAAGCTCGTATAGAATTTCATCATAAATAAATTAGAAATTTAGCATACATGCTATGTCACACAGATTTGCAGATAAAAGAGCAGACCATAACATAATGTACCTTAAAGTTATTAGTGTTTGAAATTGGTGGAAAATATATTTTTAAAAATACAAATGTGATTACCTTTCTGAGTTCCACCACTACTTCAGTCCTCTGTCTTCTCATAGTCTGTGAGGAAAGATGGCACGGGAAGATTATACAGAAGGAGAGCTTTAATTAGCCTATACTGTCTTCAATCAATTCAAATCATACACAAACTACAAATGAGCGACTGACCTAATATTACTTAGCTTTAAGACCCTAACAACACAGATAATTCTTCTGTTGTTTGACAAATACAATATTTTATTAATGATCTTCCCTTTACGAAACAAACATGATGAGGTACACTTAACCAACATTTTATCATCATATGAAGACACTGCAGTTCTGCAAAAGGTAATTAATATTTGTGATGCTGTGTTGTACTGCTTTATGATCAAATCTGCACTACTGTATTAATATTCTTGGACTGCATAATTTGTAAGAAATGCACGGTAGTCTTACTCACTGTTTATGGAGAAAAGCTAAAAGAGGAACGTTTTGTTGAATAGTACATTGGTTATAATGTTTATTTTCTGTCCTCTGATGGCCAAGACTTGGGAGAGCAGTTTAAATATTTCTTCATAGTAAAGTAATGACTAAGAGCTGGACGGGTTTTATTTAAAATAAGAATCTTCATAAAGAGACATTTTAATGTAGGATTTTTGAATCTAACGACAGTAGCTGTCCTACGCGGAAGAGACATATTGCAGACAGTAAATAACTGACGAAAATAAGTTGTGGTTGCTGCTCGCGAAATCGTGTGTTCTTCAATAACAAACCTGCACCGTGCTTTTGTAACTGAAGTTTTCAGCAGGTTGTGAAGCGAGAAGCTCGTGTCCGGAGGCCTACCGCGCCACAGACTTGTCAAACAGGATGTATGAGTATATCCTGCTTATACATCTTAACTAAGCCCGCCTGAAAACAATATCAGCCGGGTAACATTAGTGAAACACTGACCCGACTCTAACTCCCCTGGTAACTTATCGATTCGACGTTAGCTAACGTGTAGCTTTGATCTACGGCTCATGTAATCATGTTATCTTAGCTATGCGCGCTGTTTTCACGGAACGTGTAACGTTAGCATTAACGAAATAAAAGAATGCAAACAAACAGAAAATCAACTCCAAGCTTTGATTAAAACACCCAGGTGACCGGCCAGTAAAGAAGCTAACTGGTTTCCGCCATTGTTTTTGATTATAAAGACGGGGGATGGGTGGAACTGCAGCCAGCAGTGCCACCATCAAACCCCAATCACCAAGCTAGCATAGGCTAGCTAACTGCAGTATCAAAATAACGATAAGATGCCGCCATGTTGTCTTAGCAATAAATTATATAGTTCTAAATAACAGCTCGAAAGCCATGTGTATGAACTTTTCGACGAGACGGTGACTAACACGCCGAGCTAAACCTATCTGTGGGGTGACAGTCTTCAGTTGAACTAGCATGTACCCCGTGGGCCTGGCTAGCAGCGGGCTAGCAGATGAACTCTGGCTAGCGTTTCTGACGCGTTTTATAGCCAAAGCGGCCCATGGGTTAACGAAACCAGTGAGACCCGACAGGGAGTCGTCCGGCCCCGGCCAAATATTTAAAATGAGCTTTATGTAAAGACCCTGGCCGGGGCTCTGGGTACAAAGTTCCCATCGGTAGAAATTAGAAACGACGTCACAGGGAAGCGGAGCGGCGAAGCTGGAGGCAAACAGAGCGGCGGACGCTGTGGAAAAGAGAGATCCTCGACACCGATCGGCACAACTTTTACCTCCAAATCACGGCCTTTATTCTTGAAATTCTTCAGCCGCTGGTTGTCCAGTTTCTCGTTGTCAGCCATGTTATCGCTTCTGGTTACGTTAAATACAGATGAACTCGTGGATTTAGCTGTGAGCTACCCTTTTCTGGTTCCCTTTTCTCAGCCTTTCGTTAGCGGACTATTTTTCGCAGCTCAGTCCGCGGTGCATACTGGGAATGCCGGTGGTGGAGGGCAGCCTCGATCTGGCGTAGCGGAAGGGTGGGGAATTCCCCGACACGCTCATTGGTGCAGGGCTCACTACAAGTTACTTAATCATTATATCTAATTTATATTTATATGTATGCACCGTCAGAGGTACATTCACGAACTGCACACCGTGTTAGCGCCAAATGATAAAAAATATTAAGTAAGTAAGTAAGTAAGTAAGTAAAATTTTATTTATATAGCACATTTCTAGATAAAAAAAAAATTACAAAGTGCTTCACAAGGTATAAAACAAAAACAGACAAAAGTTAACAAAATGCAATTCTAAAAAGATGTGTTTTTAGTTGTTAAAATAAATAAATAAAAACAAATTTTATTGTCGTAAACGAAATTAAATAAAATGAAATAAACATTTAAAAAGGTCCTAAGACGATTATGTTAAAATATGTCACTGACAAATACCCTATTTAAAAATAAACACTAAATAATAATGTATATTGAATAGTAAAACTTAGGTCCGATAAAGAGTCCAAATCCAGCCACTGGAGGGCTTTAAAAATTGTGAAGGAGGGCAAACATTTTTCACTTTTAACGTAATTTTCATAACCTTTACAGCTTTTTCTACTATTGAAGAACTCCTCGAGGCCATTTATACTATGCCAAAGTAACTGAGTAATAGATCAGCTTTTTTTTGCTATTGTATTAAAGAAATGTTGATGAATGAATGAATGGATACACATTTACAAAGACGTAATTTTTAAATTACAAAATACTCTGGGAAATGAGATACCAGAACTTTTCTCATAATTTTACACATTAATTTGTTACAATTTAAGCCCAAAGTGTCGTGCTGACAGATTTTTCTGTTACTACAGCAGCACTTCTTTGTTATGTAGAAAACCTGAGACGTGTTACTGAAATTGTACTTGCTTTTCTTATAATTAATGTCTCAGGGGATTAAATATGTAGTTAATCTTACATTAAACTTAAAGTTAAAGGGGAGTTTCTCCTGTCTGTACTGTGAAAAAGTATTTGGCACACTTACATGTTTCAGATCGTCCATTTTCTTCTGCTTAACTGGTACAGGGTCATGAATTTAGGGTCATGAGAGGCAGGGTGCACACTGGACAGAGAAACACTCACATTAACACCCACAGTCAGTTTAAAATCACCAACCCCTACATGCATGTCTTTGGACTGTGGGTGGAAGCCACAGGCAGAATTCAAACCCACGACCTTCTTGCTGTAAAGTAATACCCATGTTTCAGATCATCAAACAATTTTAATATTAGTTAAACATAACTTGAGTAAATACAAAATGCAGTTTTAAAATGATGATTTCTTTTATTGAGGAAACAAAGCTATCCAGAGCTACTTGGCCCTGTGTGAACAAGTAATTGCTCTCTAACCCTAATAACTGGTTATGCCACCTTTGGCACCAAGAACTACACTCAAGTGTTTGTGATAACTGGCAGTGAGTGTTTCACATCACTGTGGAGGAATTTTGGCCCACACTTCTTTGCAGAATTGTTTTAATTCAACCACATTTGACCACTTTGACTATAAATGGCGTGTTTAAGGTCACGCCCAAGCACCTCAAACTGAATAAAGTCTGGACTTTATCATTCAAAGCCCAAACCACAAAATAATTGCCAGAAAATTGAGATTGTTTTTGAAAATGAAACGTTTATTGAAACTTCTGACAATTAAAAAAACTCTAAATATTAATTTGTATATGTGTCTTTTAATTTGTAATTTTTTAAATGTTGTTTTTTGTTTATTTTGTTTGATTTGGGTTTTTTTCTTGCTTAAAAATGTGTTGTGCAATTTATTTGGCCTTTTCAGGGGGGAAATGTCATACTGATGTTGAAGAATCCTCAAAAACTCAAAAACATGAATCAAATATTATAGAAGAGGCTTTAGAGGGTTAAATACTGTCACTTGGTCTGGATAAGTGTGGTCAAATCAGGCCCACAGGCCGACTGGAACCATGATAAAGATCAGGAATAACTCCAGAAGTTAAGACAAGCACTGGAAAGCCAGCTCAACAGTAGGAATAAGATCCAAGCTATCAGTACATTCACCCTACCAGTCCTTCAACACCCAGCTGGAGGACAGATATGTCACTGATGTCAAGACATAAGAACTCACAGAGATCTCCACCCAAAGTCCAGCACCCTGAGGCTCTATGAGCAACCGAGAGAGGGAGGGCGAGGATTAGTCCATGAGGTAACACGGAGCATCTGTTTGCTTGTGACGTGTAAACTAGGAGGAGGAAGCTTTGGAGGATTTCATTTCAATCATTTCAATTATTTTTACATTCCCTCAATGCAACAAGTTTGAACAAGTTACAATTAACAAAAGACTTGTTGTGAACACATCCTGAAAGGCAAAACCAAGGAGGCTATTCCTGCTGTCATTGGCTACGCTAACATGCTCATTTTGCAGTACTGCAGTACCACTTTTCCACAAACCTGCCTGATTCAAATACTTTTATTTAATTAGAAAAAAATACAGGACAAATGAAAATACACAATTCAAACCTTAGATATACAGTAGATATGATTTGTATTCACATTTGTGTCCCTGAAGATAATCTACCACTAACTCTGAATATTTTAATATTGTGACAATAACAATAACACAAATAACAGATTAAAAGATAAACAAGTTAAGTGCACAGCTGAGCTGAGAAAACTTGAACAACCACCAACTGCTATCAGCTTTTTTATGTATTATCAGGCTAAATTTTTGCCTATGACAGCTTGAGACTTTTCCCATAATCTGCTAATCCAAGATTTTTCACAGAATACTAGTGGTCTGCAGTCACAGTTTGAGGACACTTTGCCCTCAGTGTGATACGCATTCTTATCTCTGACTATTGCACTCTGACTGTGACTCAGGCCGTTCAGTGATGTGTTGCAGAGGCAGGCAGGGGGAAATCCTGCACGGTGCATGAATAAAACTAAAGAAAGTCTTCATCCATCAGCTGCCGCAGACCAAGGCTTGTTTCATAGCCGTGACACTGAAGCCTTTAGACCTCATCTTCACCTTAATGTCCTCTTGAGTCCGTTTCAGTGGGGTCTTCATGAGATACACTATCCTCCTGAAACCTTCCTCGAGTCCCATCCCAGTTGTGGCCGAGCACGGCTGGATGTACCAGGCCCTGCCTTCGCACACTTTTCTCAAATCAAGTTTCAGGCAAAGCTCCTCTGGGCTCAGAGCTCCGGGTAGGTCCTGTTTGTTGGCGAGGACCAAGAGAGGAACCTCCCTGAGACTCTCGTACCTCAGAATCTGGTAAGCAGAGAACACAGTGAGGGCCGGCACTTCAAACTTTTTAGAAAAGCCTGAATTTTGTGCTTGCTTCCAGGTTTACTATAACTATATGGTTTACAACACATTAAAATTAAAAATAGAAGAATATCTTAGCGTTTATTATGCATTTATCAACAATTAGAAGGTTTTTTGTGAAGACTGATAATCCTAATGACCTCTTAATACCTTTACCATATGAACACATTAGAAACCACCCTCTTACAACTACATTATAATGTGTGATAGATAATTTATTAAAGATATAAACAGGAACACATAATAAAGCACCTGTAAGATTAATTTGCATGTTTTATTGTTTTGTCCACAAAAACAATGCCTTCAAATTACCTCATCAGAAGTTTAAATACTGTGCCTTGAAGTTTCTTGAGTTGCTAGATTCAAAACTAGTTGCAGTGCCACAAATCCCTGCTCATAAATACCCTACATGCCTTCAACATTTCCCCTTTTGAAGGCAGTTTTGGAAACAGATTTGTAGCATCAAAGCCTGCACAGTGAAGGTGCATGCTCAACAATAAAATATTTGTTGGTTTATTTACCCGATGGAGTTCCTTGCGGGCCTCGTCCAACCGTTTCAGGTCCCTGCTATCCACCACAAACACCACTCCAGCTGTGTCGGTATAGTGATGCCTCCAGTGGGGCCTCATCTTTTTCTGGCCCCCGACGTCCCACACAATCAGTGCTGGGCTGCTCCTGTCCGTCTCCAGTGTCTCCACATTGAAACCCACAGTGGGCACTGTCACCACACTCTCGTTGTACTTCAGCTTGTAAAGCAGCGTGGTCTTTCCTGATCCATCCAGGCCCAGCATCAGGACTTGTGCTTGTTTCTGGTGCTTGGATCCGTGAATACCCATGTCCTAAGAATGCAGTCCGTGTCTGTGGAGCTTTCTCTCTTTGTGCAACTGTGCAAACTACGCTGAGTGCACTCAGTGTGTCTGCTGTCTTATGAAGAACGAGTAATCCCTCCCCTCTGTTGTGTCCAGATTCCTTCTGGCCTTGCGTAGCTTTCAGTAAAGCTATTTATATGTGAACTGACGGTGCAGCTGAGTGGGGCAGCATGCAGTTCTCCGGTTACCAAAGCAGTCAGTGGAGTCACATCACACCTGCCCCGGATCATCATACACACCAGCAGCAAGGAAGTCCATGTTTGGCACAACGGGGTAGATTGTGTTACCTCCTGGCTGGCTGTCACTGCTGGCCTCATACCAGTGACATCACAGCTAAAGTTTGATAGCCGTAGCTGATGGGCAAATTTTGTCTAATGTGTTTGGTCAAAGTGCAGCTTCCAGAAGCCTCTGAGCCAATCTCAAAATGTAACATTAATCTCAAATACAGTTGCATCTAATTAAACAGAGTCCTGTTTTTATTAGTGAATACAAAAAGGATTAACTACACAATTTACTTGTTATATTTAATTACCAGTGATTCTGGATACTTATTATTGGATCTCCTGACTTGACTGCTGGCTGCATTTAAGGTTTCATGTCACTGTTTGTTGCAGCTCTTTACAGACCTTTTATCTGGCTGTCAGGTTTAATTGGTGTAATCAACTGCGGACTTGTTTATAATGTCAGCAGCAGAATGAACTGACCCACACTAACAAAACCACAAATGCCATCTTCTGTTAATTAACATCTTCAGATATCCTCCAGCAGATGGAATAAACAAACTCAAATCTAAAACTTTGAAAAGTCAGAGATCATCAGTTGATTTTGCCACAGCTTCTTTTTAAATAATGAAAATAAGGCACAAAATAGAATTTGATCACATTTTAGTATGATGAGTGTTGATAGTACACCTCATTTATTTGAAATTCATCCAGGGACCCAGACTTTCTTGTCATTTTTTAAAGTGGCCTTCAGCAACAGTTCTCCAGGTTTTCTGAAGATCTTCCAAAGAGATCTTATTGAGAGAAAAAAAAAAAAATCTGAGGAAACAGGACAAGCGGAGGACAAAAGAAGTGGCAGGTCTAATAAAAACTGTAGCAGATGAACAGTATCTGTCCTTAAGAAACAGAAAAAAAAAATAAGCAAAGACCTGAAACAGGAACTGAGAGAATCATCTGATCCGTAAGTCGATCCACCTACGCTTCACTGAAGCCTCACCAGATATGGTTTGCTTTTAACCCGGTGCTGCTGTTTCTCATTTATTTTTACAAAGAAATAAGTGGTGGTTCAAGACTTTTGCACAGTACTGTAACCTACATGTGTACAGAATACATTAAAAAAAACTCCACACACAATAATGATGCAATCTTTTATCGTTTTAATCTTACCTTTGTGATTTACACCTTAAAATTTCTGAATTTTCTCTGTTTTACAGTTTATGAAATCCAACAAAAACAAGTACAAATGCCACACAAACATCCCGTAACATAGGTTAAAGGAAAAATGTGAACTGAAAGAAGCACAGACAGTTTCATTGGGTATATATCTCTGAAGTGAAACAGCTCAGGTAACAGGCGCCCCGCTGCGTTAAACATTGGAGGAGTGATACACGAGGACAGTATGTACATTCATCTTACAATTTGTCTCTCGGAGACATGTTTTCATCATTGCTTTTCCACATTTGATTTAAGGAGGGATGACGCTGAGGTCGTGCACTGTGCGCCGTGTGGTCAACTGCGTTACATCGAAAAACCGAGAAGTCGTTTTGGCAGCGGACTCGATAACAGGATATGAACAGCTAGAAAGTAAGGCAACGATAACTGATCTCATTCAAAGGCTCGTTAAGATTAAGTTCAGAGTAAATCAAAAGCAATGCGATTCAGATCCACGACTTTTGCCTTAGTGAGATGAGACGCTGTGAAAAGATGAAAACATAACTGTATGCTGTCGGTTTAAGTTCATCAGGTAGACTGTAATAAATGATGATGTAACAAAAGTCACATAAAGGAAGAGGATGTCAATATCTGTGAAATAAGTATTTTAAAGGGTGTAATATAAAATCCCACATAACATAATGCTTAAAACTGCCATTTATTATTATGATAGAACCGTTTACCTTCTTCATACCACTACAGGTTAGCGGTCAGCTATTATATGAGATAACACATTAACCTTTTTGAATTAAAACTTAGCAGTTAGTCATAATGAGATGTTACTTTGTTGTTACTCCAAACATTTAATTACACTTTGACAAGCTACAATATTATCCAACAGTTATTACATTATTAGTAGTTACACATCCTGATGAGTTGGGCCAGAAAAAAGCAGGAGAGGTCAAACGTCAGGGTGAAACGCTTCGGTGGAACAGAAACTCTTAGCAATCGTTTTAATTAAAGACACATTAGAAAACGGGGCAACTCAATCCTAAACATGAAGATTTCCCCACATCCAGCAAGTGTGATGTAACAAAGTGGTAAGTGCTTTTGCTGTACAGTATGAGCAGTAACGTGTTTTCATTTGTGTTGGTCGTGTATGAAACCCGCCACCGTGCTGAACAACAGATTTCTTAATCGATAAACACAGACAAGGTGGAAGAAAGAATTTGGAGGTCACGGAGACAGTGAGGGAAAGACATAGTTTGGAAATTACTGGAAACATCATGCTGTCATTTAAAAGGGACATTACAACGGGGCAACAAATCAGATGTTAGTGTCAGACATGTGTGCAAGTTCATCACAAAGAGAGATCAATGACTGTCACCTCTC